CATTAAGCGACATCCAACCAAATAGTTGGGTTTGCATTGATACTTTTGCGCCGATTCATTGTGAGGAGAAGCAAGAGACGCGTTTCATTGGAATGCACCACGAAGGATTGGTGTAAATTAGGACTCCACCATTACGGTTTCGGTAAATGCAAGGGCGGTCTATGCGATGGCAAATGAACCATTCGAAAGCCTCAAGGGCATCATGCAATTTATCGAGGAGTTACGTTTCTGGCAACAGAATGATCCCTGGCTACGAAAGTACTCTGGAACTCATGATACACGAGAGTTTATCCAATTCCCAGTAACGAAAGGTTGTTAACGCTGAGCATTATGGACAAGCACAAATCCCACGTGTTTCGTTTGAAATGCAACCTTCCATTCAGCGCAGTCCTATCACGCGAAATTATTGCACTAATTATAGATTTCCTGCACACTGTTTCCTACAACGCGACAGTTGGAAAATGCACGGCCTACAAGCGTGGAGGCACGTAGTGATTTCAAACTATCGGTGGTTCCGTTAACTCTACATGCTGGCTAAACACTCGAAGTATAAAACAAGCAAGGTGAGGAGTGTTTTACCAAAGTTGATAGAAGAAACATCGAAATCTCTCCACTTCGAGTGCTTTAACTATTCATGATATACCGATGGCCACAAATACCATGTGCAGTTGACACACACTAGTGCCCCTAAGTAAATTGCTACAAATTCTCAGCCCTACATACACCCAGAGAGGAAAGTAAGTGGAGCAATGGCCACAGCATTGAAATTTATGACAATCTTTTTCAACCAATGGTGGGTTTCTGTCAAGTTCACCGTAAAGATCATTACACATGACAAGCTGAGCCAGACAAATGTCAAAGTAATGTTCGCAAATTGCAGCCGGCAAGCAAACGTTGGATGTGTGTTGTTGGCTTCAGGATAACCGGCTTTAACCGTACGATTCATCTATTGGTATAGAAATCGTTATTGCAAAGACGATGAAGAACAGTGGTTAAATATCAACTCTTCTCCTGACTCCCATAGTTACAAGACTTGCTTTTGGACATAAAAGTGAGGTGAGTAAGAAAAAGAAGTAAAAGGTCGGATATATATATATATATATATATATATATATACGTTCTGAGACTGATAATCTGGGATAATTGTAAAATTGATACGAGACATCGGTCAGCAGTCTGTACGTCTCGGGTTAGAGTCGCAGTTCTGCTATCTATCGATTGAGTATGAGCGAGTAATTAGTACAATTCTACAAACGGTTAGCATCCAATGTCTACTTTTCGAATCAGTAGGCTTTTAAAATTATGCGAGTGATGCTACGTAGCTTGGTAAGCCTAGATTACTTCCGTAGCCACCACCTATAGGCAATAGGTGTAAAATATAAAATGAAATGCTCCAATGACTTTCTAGGGGATGTAATGTGCACTAGCTTCGCTTGGTCCGAGGTGAGTGATTTCTGTTCACGTAACCGAGCAGGGTAAATTAAAGACAATAACGTTGGAGAGGAAGGATCTAGAGAAGTTGGTCTAAACCACATCAGTCGCAGCTAGAGAGGGTTGGTAGGACTTGGATAGGTTGAATCAGGTAAACGTGTCGAAGGCTAGGAAACATCCAGTTCAGGAGAAATTAGATCGTGCTGCTGAGCAAGGATTTTTGCTGTGTTTATTTTACATTTTGACATTATATGGATTCGTCTGACTACGATTCACTATGTTTATGTGAAGGTATATGTTTGAACAGATTGTAACTCATCTGAAGGTTTGCTACTTGAACCCACTGGTTGGAACTTGAACGATGACTTTGATGAAGACAAAGTGGGGTTGGAGTAATATCGGTGTTACTTGCTCCTAACACTGCACTCCACGGCAAGTTTGCTCCTCGTTTGGGCTCCGTACATAGCAATATTCGTAGCTAGGATTAGAACTCGAGCCGTAGTGGTCAGCGGCTAAGATCTTAATCATGATTGTCTTGATTGATTCATCCTGAGTTAACACAAGTCGCTTGGCTACCTTTTGCTTTTATACCAGGATGAAGCAATAATTTTCCGGATGCACAAGAAGTGTTATTATTACAACGAGAAAAGCAATACATTTTCAGCATTCCTTCACATCTACGTACACTGAAACCATTTGGGGAGGCGGCTAGACCATGCCGAAGGGAATAACCATTCAAGTAACTCAATAAACGTCACTACTGAATCTTCTGAAGACTAGTAGCGGATTCCATGTATCAATTGGGAACACAGAAAGTCACACGGAGCCAGAGCTCGACTGTAGGATGGCTGCTCAACTTTATGGATGCGTTCTGTAGTCAGAAAATCTACGACGACATGGGACCTGTGTGCAGGCGCGTTGGTATGGTGCAGCAGTCCCTCGTGCTCGACTCCTTGGAGGATGCCTGGCTACAGCTTCTAGCAACTTTGGCAGACAGTGGGTAAAATACCAGTCTCCGGTAATTGTGCTTTGCCGTAAAAGCGGTATAGAAGCTACAGGACCGGTCTTGGTCACGAACACAGCCACCAACTGCATGGTCACACTGCGCTCACGCCGGAATTTCTGAGGCAGCGCCCCAACAACGGCCGTCCATTGGGCCGATCGCTGCTTGATCTCTGGGTCGAAACGGTTCACTCAGATCTCATCACCACTAGGGATCTCCAAAATAGCATTGGAGCGTCCACCAGCAAATCTGTCAAGCATGGTTTGACACCAAATCACCCGAGCTGCTTCCTCATCCTCACTGAGCTGATGGAGTACACAACGTGCGAGGTTAGGCTTTTCATGTAGAATGATGCGGATTGATCAAGATGAGATCTCGATGGTTTTCTCCAGCTGTACCGCAGTCACCGCGCGTCATTCTCCAGCATCGCTTGCACGGCAACAATGTTGTCCGCGTTGGTGGCCTCCACAGGTCGACAGCAGCGTGTTTCATCATTCAGGGACCGCCTGCCATGCTTGAATTCTCCAAACCACCCAAACACCGTGGTACTTGAATGTGCATTTCTAGCAAACGAAGCACGCAATCGCTCAACACTCTGTTGCTTTAAAACACTTTGTAATCAGAGAAAATCATCGCCCTCCAGTGACATTGACTGAGTTCCATACTTACAGTCATGATATAGCGAACCTTTTGAGTTGTAGCTGTGCTAGGCTGCTGATATTGTATCGTGTGAGTTGAAACCGCTGAACAATGTTCAGAATGGATTACAGTTCACATTTTCCCTGCCATGTCATCTGCACCTAATCTGTGTAGTACGTGTCCGGAAACCTATTACTTTGCCCTCGTAGTCCAAGCTCAAAGTAGTTATTTGAAACAAGCATTTCCCTCTGTAACGACTCCGTATGTTGTTTAGAAGTTTTAACAAGTAGTAGCAACAATAGTGCCATTTTCAGCCCACATATCTCCATGAGCCACTGTATAGACTACCATCTTTTCTATATTAATTTAATGCAATACTAGATCTCTGCTGCCCCTATCCTATTCAGGCCGGATACAGCATATACTGACGACGGATAAGCTTAGAAATAAGTAAGCGTTCACAAAAGGCATAAGAGGAATAATTTAGTAGATATCACCATGGTATCTGGCAAGTGTAGCGTAAGCGGCATAGTCTTACCACTCGCTCACTCGTAGTTGTTACATATACTGAGTCACGGTTGGGTTGAAAATGCCTTATGGAGTTATCATTCGATGTGCTCCTCCTACCCTCAGTGTCAGTGATTGTTTCCGTGATCATAATCACTAGACCATCTGTTGAAATATGATGTCGAACTCGGTGGAAGGGTTTTGCAAGATTTACTCTTTTCCCCTATGTCGTCTGAATCAAAGGATTGTGCTGGGCCATTATACCGCGTAGGGATGAACGTATGTGCTATAGGTCCACTACCCATATCAACAGCCGATGAGCCTGTACCACCAGTCTGTTGGTAGATCAGCAATGAGTAAGCATAGGCATCAGAGTAGAAGGTGTTGGTACCTTATACCGGAATCCTGGTGGGTGGTATGCAAATCCCAAAACGGACGAAGTCTGTGTTACGTATGAGAAAAGTGTGCGTTAGCTGTACATTGCTCCGCTTTACATTGCATTCCACCTCAAAAGAAAGTAGCTGATATGGCTTATCTAGTGCACCATTTATTTCCTTACAGTGTGACGCATAAGACAAAAGAGATGATTTACATTGCATCCTAGCTGATTGCTCAGTCGTGTGAGCTTCATTCGTTGGTTTGGACTGGAAGCAGTCAGCAGTCACGCGTGTGAGGGGTTGTGGGTTCTGTCATTCACTGATGTTGCTAAAAACCCCTAAAGAACGACAGTAACTAAGTGTAATAATTTTCCGGTTGTTTTGCCCTTGGAGCGTCTCTTTAATGCAATTTCGTCATCGAGATGAGGCGTCGCAATCGAACGTTATCAAATGCCACAGTTTTCTATCCCCTCAGAACACATCCGCAGCGCTCGTTCCCATCAAAGTTCTTTGCGTCCGAACTCATGGTTATCCTATTACGAAGCGGCGTATCGATTCATTGCACTAGAAGTGAAGCCGGCGACTTCGGAGCCTAAACTATAGGCCGCGATGTGGTGTGGGTCCCCTTTCAAAGATACGCACGTTACAAGCGTGGAGAACAGAGTTACGAATCCATACTCTATCCCACCAGGGACCTTGTGGCACCATGATTTAACTAAAGCAACCACCGAACATAAGGACGCTTATGCGACCCATCATATTGTAAACAGCGTAAACCCTTTTTTTACTTCCTCATGAACATTCCGAATTGTTTGCAACTTCTGACATCCCAAACAGATGTCGAATAGAATTAAGTTACTCCGTTTTCGTTTAACATCACCAAAGTAGAGCGCAGTGTATCTGACATTCCCGATTATGCAAAAACACATCACTATTCAACAAAGTAGAAGAGTAAACGGTTGTGTTATTCCGTCCACGTGGTAAAACGGACGCAAAATTAAGAGTCTATCGCTTTCATTCCTTTTGTCTACTCTACGAAACAGACCGATGACTGCCAACTTCAGTCCATACCCTTCTCAGCTGCATGCATTGGAATCGGAGGTGTGCCGTCTTCGGGGACAACTGAGTGAACGAGAATCTAAACTGACTGATGTACAGCTAGAGGCACTTGCCAGCACACACCAAGTGAATCAGCTTCGCGATCAATTACTTCGCATGGAAGAAGAGTTGCAGCGGCTTCGCTCGGACAATCACCGGCTGCAAAGTTTGGTGCGTGGAGGCACAGATACCCCTGCGGCAATTTCAACACAGCCAGCATCAAGATTAGAGAATGACGTTGACCCATCCAAATTGACGCCATTACCATGCGTTTCGGACGAAAACAATGAGTGGCCAGTAGAAAGTGAGCTCGGTAGGTGTCGTAGGTTTGTACAGTTCAATGTGCTATGGGGACCACCTGTGTATGGGGACTGCATTTTTCGGTCTCCAATATTTTCTCCTACGAGTGGTGTCTCTATGCATGAACCTGTCCATGGGAACCACATTTTGCCGGTCTCTTGAGTGGTCGCATTAGAAAGGTTTGACTGTATTATGATTTTTGAAAAATCCCATAGCCAGATCAGAAGTCAGTGTAAGCGAACATATGTTTTCGATAATTCCTCATCAGGCTTCTACAATTAGATACAAATACAAACAAACTGGGTAGACAGACAGTATCAATTGTTAGTCCAGGAGGGAGTTAAATACTGCGACAATTCGGGCTCACCGTTAGAATGTTCACGATGATGGAACGCCTCCATTCTGGTAACTATAGCACACAACAATCGCAACGATTAAAAGCTTTCAACTGAAGGTTTTCTAAATGCTAAATCGAATAGACGTCGTGTCTCATTCCCTGGAAAATGGCTGGCTTTGTTTGATTCCAATCTGGTATGTTAACATTACTATATCAAAGTGGTTTTGCACCAATACGTCTTGTCGGTAAACCACGTTGAGGAAAGATCTCGGTCTTTCAGGTGTGAGTGTTCGTACAACCGAATCCTACCCTGTGGACGTGCATCCCCGCAATGGCTTACGAGTAGGCATATAAGCCGTTTGTATTCCCTTGCCGCAACAAAGATCAAATGACGCATTGTGTTAGAAACAGCGAGTAATCAGGGATCACAATGCTTGGCCATGACTTCAGTGTGAATCCAGACAGATTGGCTCACGGCGGGACATTCAGCTCACGGTCAGTGTGAACGGTGCTAGCGTGTTATTTCCCCACTGGTTGCCAAAGCAAAGCAACCCCGGTGAGCTTGAACGCTTTTCGATCCGTCGTTGGTATACATTGTTTGGAGGCATATTCGGTGCTACTCCCCTCAAACATTTCCTCCCAAAAGCAAAGTTTTCCTTCTCTTGCCTTTCCAGATGAATATAACCAGCGTGGAGCATGGAACATGGCACATATTGGTTCACGATTGACGCATGGATCGCCAGTCAGATGAACCATCTTAGTTACTTTAATTGTCATGCTTATAAACGCGCTAAAATGCAACTAGTGGCCAAGGATATGTGGCGGTGTTCGTTAGTGTTGCGAGTTGTCAAATGTGGAATGGTCAAACGATTAGACGTGAGGTGGTCACGTGCCATGGTCAGCCCCAAGAAATGTTATCCTCCCGGCCCCAGGCGCTTGCAAAGCAGCGTCAGTCGATTTGTTAGAAGCTTAGTAGACTAGCTAGAACACACGAGTCCTATTACAATGGGTGGCCTACAATGGTGACAGGAGTACTGAAAAAATTTCAGCCGTTGCGCGTAAACAGAGTGCACAGTAATAAAACACTCAATTATCTGGTGAAATGATAAATGAGTTTCCTTAGGCAAAAGCGGGAGAAAAAAGCGTAAATCTCTGGGAATTTCTTAGCAGTAACTTCCAAAGCAGGTAATCCGTCACATGTCAGAACGCATTAGACTGCAGTTTCGACCTGGTGGGTCTTGTTATTTAGTACGCACCTATTGGACCCAGCAGCATTTGAACCCAAGAACACAGCAGCTCGCACCAACAGCCAGCAGTCTATGCTACTGAGCCACTTGGGGACAACGGTGCACCTTGATGATTTACAAGCTACCTACGATATACCGCGTCCCATCCTCCACTGTCACGCAAGTTATTGGAAGTTGTGACTTTCGGGGCCAATCCTGTCTTCGGCAACATCCGTAACTCGCATGACAGTGTAGGGTGAGGTTTGTTATATCGCAGGTAAATTGTAAATCATGACCTTCTACCGTTGTCTCGCATGGCTCAATGACCAAGGTGCTGGATGGCTGTGAAAGGCAATAGGTTCGAATCCTGATGGATCCGCACTGTTGACGTGGCCCAAAAGATCGAAACCGCCGTCTATTGCTCCAGTGGGCATGTGAATGAATATCTGATTTGTAAGCCACTGCGAATAAACCCCAAACTATTCGTAACAAAAATCCCCTGCTCATGAGTATGTCAAAGACGAAGTGATTACTAAGTAGCCTGGAGGTTAAACCATTTCTTCAAATTCTAGCTCATCCTTACCAATGCGTTTGCACAAAAATTCGCAGTCTAATCTTTCTAATAATACACAGGGTCGCTCAGAAACTACTTCTCTTGCGGAAGGCTATTACACAGGTAATCGTAAATGCTTTGGCACAGATGTCTGGAACTATGTTGAGATGCACACGTTCAATCACTACTCTGATCGAAATAGCTGAAGATGCATACAAGCACACATGCAATCAGCAATACGCGGTAGTTTAAAGCAGCCTTCGTTCAACCATCTCATTGTATTTATCGGAGAAAGAGCTGCCGGAAGATTCTGGTGCTCGGTACACGGGTGACGGCCGGTAAATGACATATCTGCGGATACCTAATATCTAGTATTTGTAAACTTATGAACTCGGTTTCATGTAAAATTCACAACGCAGTCATTTTCTAGCGAAGTTGGCCGAAAAACCGTTCTCTGTGTTGAACACATATGATAGCATGAGATTCATCGCTTATCTGGGCAGCAACAGCAATGGGGTAAGATAGATTTAGTAAACAACACATCGCGAGCATTATTGGCTTCCGTTATCGAATGTAGGTCGATACACAACAGTTTCAGAATGCATGAAGAAGTAGCACTTGACATCCGAAGCTCACAAAAGTGGTGAAACGTAATGGAGCAGTTTAGTGTGCATGTTCACAATGTTACCTTGTTAGACAACTGGATTTTCATACGATCACTCCGTCATTTTAATTGGGTGGGGCTTACTTTCAATTATGCTCTAATGCTGATACTTTAAACTGATGCATAACGAGTACCTTCCACCTACATTTCTCCTGCAGATATTCTTTTTGCTGTCAGTCACAAAAGCGGGAAAAATCCGGATGAATTCCAAACAAAGAGATTAGCAGTTGTTAGTCTGGTCCCAGATGCAGAGGCAGAACTTCGTTCCATCAATATAGGTTTGGTGGATTTAAAGCAGTTTGCTCATTGGGTTGACCTCGACAAGCATTTAACACAGATGTTTGTAGCGTACACGCGCCTCATTAACCCGCATGGAGAGTTGGACACCCGGATCAACACTATCCTTGGATACCGCATTGTAACACATTCCACTCCCCAGAATGGTGATGTGTATGAACACTGGATACGGAGTGGTGAATCCGTGGGGAACAGCGAAGAAGAAACCGCCTTGGCTACGCTGCTAAAGCAGAATTCCATAGAGAACGGAACAACTCAGATTGCGCTCCTGTTTCGTGCCGACTCGAACGGGTTTTCTGTTCGATTACCGCTATTCTTCCTGCTCCCAGCCGCCAGGTTGGAATGTTGCTTGTCCTTGTTGCATCGCTATCGACGCATCGTATTATGTCATTCGAATGAATTTGCCGCACAGACCGAAATGCTAGCCTTTTCGTTGGCGCGCTGCTTGCAAGAAAGTGGGTGAGTTTCAGGCTGATCCATTTTCTTTTATACTGATCCATTACTATTTAGAAGCTTGCCAACCCACTGGAGTGTTACTTCGTCGATAGTAACGTGCAGAGTTACTATGATCGTGCTTAATTCAAATTAAGCACGACAAATAAAATTTTGGTAACTGCCGAGAGTTAGTAAGGCAGTGGACAACTAATTTACTGACTGTGAATCCGCGACAGTTTGGAGTTTCATTTGATAAACACTAGTTACCCGAACTCTAGGCCGTTCCCCCTTGGGTTGCCCGGTTCCACTGGGCCGCAAGACATCGCGTTTGGTATCAGTCTGTGCACAGCACGCGTTGAACTACATGGGGCGAACGGCAGTCAGCTTCATTCCAATACTGTTTGTGCAAGAAGGTACCGTACTTATCCGCACGCAGGCACATATTGGACCATACCATCAGACCAATCCCACCTAATGGTTCCTGATCTTGTTGTATTTTAGAAACGTTAGGTTTTCATGATTTATCCAGATCGCCACAATAAGCCAGAGTAGGCCAGCAACACATTTTCGACACTCGGTTAATCTTGTGCAACGGCCAGCACTATCCGTCGCCCTCTCGAATTTGATCCACATTATTTCACCCTATGATATGCAATTGCAATCCATCCGACAGGAACATGGAGTATAGAGCAATCGATAAATGACAAGGAAGCTATTCGTAAAGAGGTCACGCACAAGTGAGGCAGCTTCAGACTAATCATACTTCAAGTAGTCAAAGGTCAATAGGATTTCCCACTACTTTCATTTTAGCCCATCTGAATGGATGACCGTTAAGTGATACTCCAGAATGACACAAATTATTTCAGTGATCACAAACTGAATCAGACTCTTGTTGTCGCCAATATTTTCCAAATGATCACACGATTCTGTAGCTAGTAATTACACAAGAGTTCAGTTGGTCTGACGCAGCTCTAGACTTGAAGCGAAACTTGACTTAATGATGGATATTGGAGTGCCCGGAGTGAGTAGACAGAATAGTAAAGGTTTTCTTCAAAAGTACCGAAAGACGAAAACTAGTATATGCATGCATTTTGTATTGTCTCCTCAGTACCATTACCAATAGCCGATATGCGTAGACGCAGCTAACAGTGAGTGGGACCTGATAAGCTTATAAATAACTTTTAATTTCGATTTGCTTAAGCAGGTAATTGCAGAATTCTTCATGCATAGGTCACATGTTGCGCGGCTGCACTTAAAATATCGCAGACGACTATTTATCACTTAGGCTGATAATATGCCGATAAATAATAATGGTAATGCGCAGAAATCCAGATTGAATAAATTCATTAAGTATTCAACATGTCAAGTAAGGAGTTGGTGTTAGCGAAGCAAGTTTGGTGGCCAAATAATGTGATCCAGAAATAAAAATGAATTTCCGGCAATTTGTTGTATATTGTATCACTAAATACACAGGCACGACCCAAGGTGCAAAGTAGTATCTCACTCCCGGTGGCGAATCAAACTGAGTAGATTGCCCAGCTGATTGATCGACCAATCCATTTGTCATGCACCATGGGAGGAGAAGTGGGCAAATTATCGGCGCTATGCATTTGGGACCGCAGGACAACAGAAGTTTAATCGGATCCGGATGGCTTCAAGAGACAGGGCTTATTTGTGATGTTATCACCTATACCGTTGCAGGATGAGGGGTTGGCGAATTGGTTAAGCAGATCCTTTCAGAACGCAGGGTCAGAATCGCAGATGATCGATGAATCATGAGGCATCGACACTTCAGCTTTACCTCGAACTTTACATGCGTAAAAACTAGATCCCCTTGCGGCACCATCTAGTCGTTAGTGTATCTCAGAGAAAGGCTGGAATAAAGAACTACATAGACAGAAGAGCAAGAATAAGAAAACAAATAAGCTTGCGGATATTTTTGGCTTTTATTGACCATTTGTAAAATTAGATATAAGTCAATATATGCGATAATTAGTTTTCTTTTCTTATTAATAATTAAAAAGTACTAAGTAAGTAAATAAATGAATTATAATTTACTGACATGTAATTTGAAGTCGCGATTTTTTGTGGTATCATTGATGGAGAAAACGTGGTGGTTTGCAAACATCAGAGTCGAGTCAAGTGTATCTGAAGAACACCATGTTTCAGTGACGAGGATTGTTTGTGGGTCATTGAACTGTACAAGTGTGTTTATAAAATTAAGTCTCTTGATGATGGATCTGGTATTAGGCAGAATCACTGAAAATGTACTAAGTATTGGGAAGTATCGCTGTCTGCTGTATGACAGCCTAAACATTTGGCTTCGAGCATGGTGTACATGGCGATTCAGGGAAAGTATGGTGTGCTTGAGTTAGCCATTGGAAAGTTTGTTGATAAGGACAGCATGTCATGTGTGGATATCAAGACAGTTGGGGGCACGACGGGAACCGAGGTATCATGATTAGCCTGTCGATGGTTTGGTAATGAACCAGCTTTGTCAACTGGACAAATTGGAGAGAGATTGGGGGCAAAATGTTGACCTCCGTCGGATGTATCTGAGGTGGGAATGGGTGCGAGTCCATTCCCGTAGCCGCTAAAAATGGTTGTTGGAAGAAGCTGTGTGAGAGGTTGAGGAAAAATGGAGAGGAGCAGGTGGTCATATAGTCCTACTGACCGATTTTCTCCCATTATGTGTGCACTTTCAGTGATTGTTCTGGAGTGTGGGAAGATAAATAGGCGTAACCAAGAGACAATTGTTATTGGCCTTATTCGACAGGGAAGTTTGTTTACCCAGTTGGCTGTAGGAACCTGGTCGATAAGGAATTTTGGATGCAACCGACTATCTCGTAACCATAGGTTTTTTTAAAGACACTGATCCCTGGATTGGATAAGCCGTCCGTTGGCGACATTAAACTATGAATTTCATCAGGTTGTCTTGGAAGTTCGGACCGTATTGTGATATATTCAACGAGTTGTCATTGCTCTACAGTTGCAAGCACTTAATCTTCCCTTTAAGCATTATTTACGAGGAGTTCAATTTAATGGGAGTGCCGTTGTCAGGAATAGGAGAATCTGCTTTATTCGTTCATTGTTTAGCGGGTATTTCAGCGGAGCAGGGAAGGACGGCTTTGAAGCTAGTTGACAATTCTGACAAATTATCGAGGTTTAAATCAAGGCATCTAGTATGCACCTTGATTGCACTTGTCTTTTGGGTGTTTGACTGCGTTTTCTCCTTAAGGACCTAGTTATTTTTACCGGTGTTCGCGGCACGGTGCCAATTTTGGACATATGTAGGGACGCCATATCTGGTTGAATCGAAGTGCCATTAAGCTGGGTGTACAGGGCTTTGATGGGTCCACCATGGACTCGCTGTGCGGCTTCCTCGCACAAAAATTTGAAAATGATCGGCCAACAGTGTTTTGGTGTTTTTTTTTAATATTGCCATTTGTAGTCAACGTCAGACATGTTATAAGCCTCAAATATCGTTAGTAGTACCTTATCCATAACCAACCTGTCCAGAAGGTTAAAATGAATTATATTTTTTACTCTGCATATCCGCTCGTGAATTTCAGAGGCAACTAAGGCAAGTAACTACCTTACTTTTTCCATTAGAACAGGATCAATCTTCTCCAAAGGGTTACTGACGTAGTCAATCGAATTCAGGTGATCTTTGAGGAGTTCAAAGAGTGTCAGCGTTTTTCTCATCTCATTCAGTTGTGGTTCCAAAGAGAGCAAGTTATCATTTAGTTTTGCAGTGAGGTTATTGTTGGCAGAGAAACAGATTCGCTTTTCTTTTGTGACCTCGCAATTTATTCCCGTTGCTGGTGTAGTGGAAGCTACACACCTTAGTTTGCCGAATACGGTGAGACTTCAGTGGGGCCATTGCGATCTAAACTTGTCAATGTCCAGACTCAGGTGCCAATATAAAATAATGCAATGAAAACCAAGTTTATATGATTTCTCGCAATCGGATATTGATAGGTCGCTTAGATTCCGCGGTTGCGTTGATAATAATAGCCACGAGCGTGTCCAGACCTGCATTTGTGGTCAGGTCGAGATGTGGGATCTTGCAGAGTGGGGTCTGGAGAAGGCATGGAGCAGTTGTCTACACACACACACACACACACACACACACACACACACACACACACACACACACACACACACACACACAAGTGTACGCAAGTACGGGTCAAGCAACTGGTCTTCTGGACTCGGCAAGTGAACTGACGCACGCTAAGCAAACAAAGCCTGAATAAACGATGCGTCCGGTCTCTGATCAACAGCGAGTGCGACAAACTGCTTAACGGGGTTGGATTGTCAGCAACGTACGATGTAACGACTAAACACGGTATTGAATGAGCACGAGCTTAAGCGAATCGTATTGCCTGGAAAAACTTTTTGAATGAGAGTAAAGTATCTAACGGGAACTTGCAAGTGAAGAAGTTTCGCACTTGAATTCCTAAAACAAGTCCGTCCAAATTGCCGAAAGTGTATACAGCAAAACCTCCAAAATTGACCACCTCTATATGTTGAACACCACTTTATGTGGACCACTTTTTCATGGCTTGAACGGTCACTATGTAAACCCTATGGAACCAGACCTCTATAAGGTGATCACCTCCGCAAGTTGTATGTTGACCACTTGGGCTATGACAGTCAATAATAATTCAACGTCCATAAGTTGGCCATTTGAGGGGGTTACCATCCAATGGTTCCCGAATGGCTCGTTTGTTCCGATAACCCGATGTGTAGCGGGACTTTTGACCCACAAAATCAATGAAGACAAAGCGTGTTCGCTGTGTTTTTGCGTATGTACGCGTATGTACGTGTTTGTCTCAGCCGTCAGCGTTTACGCCAGACTTAGTACCTAGGTCAATGTGGGTCCCCACAGATCCGCGCCAACGGAATGACTTAGAACGATTTGTGTTCAAACTTCCTCACCCGTCCACAGGCAAGCCTCCACCCACCCCTAAGAACATGTGCCCACTCATCGCAATCAGGAGTTTCAGTGACTGACAAAC